CTGTCAGTAAGAATTAAAAGTTCAGTTACGCAAGACTTAGACTTGACTTGACTTGAAAATTGTGTATCTGGCAAGCAGCGCGTGTACATATGTAGTTACCCAAAAAAACAACTTCACTTAGAAACTTGGAGAACTATAGATTTTTGATTTCTAAGTTCAATTTCTAAGTGCAAAGAGAGCCCTGAGAGAATCATGCTGCCATTTCATTTTTTAATAAAATCCCTACAAATATGCCAAATAAATAAAAAATTTTGTATAAATGTAATTCATCTGGCAATCGAAAAACAAACTTTCAAATAAAGACAGAAAATAAAATAAAAACAATCACAATTCGATACGCGTTTATTTTACTGGTAATTTTGTATTCATTCTGGTGTAAAGACAAATTAAACGTTTGCAATTTAGGTGTACAAATACAAGTGCTGATATTCAAAAGAAAAAGAAAAGGTAATAGGTGACACGCTGAGTAATCGTTTCTAAGTTTCTAGGTAAGTCAAGTCAAGTCTAAGTCTTGCATAACCCAGCTTTTAGCTAGTAACAAAATTCAGAGAATAGGGTACCTTAATCTCCCACGGTGCAGCGAACAAAGTGGCGCCGTCAGTGGTACCGCTACCTTGGTTTTGCCGATTTTGACAGTTGTGGTAACTTGTAAATAAACCTTTGTTTACAAATCAGCGAAGGATAAATTTGAATTATAAGTGAAAAATCAGTTTAAATTGTGTTAATTTGCAATTTGTGAGCGATTTTTGAGTTGAAGACTTCGTAAAAACTAATACAATGAAGTGCTGTATGTTAAAGTGCGACAGCCGCCAAGATGCAAGAAGCGTAGATGCAAGTGTAGCGCTGGGACGAATCGCTGCATTTTGTGTACATAGGGCACGGCAAAGCCGCTCCCGAAATGTTTCTCTATTATTATATTAACAGCATTTCCTCACAATGATTTTGTTTCAGCTCCACGCAGCCTCCATTAGCAAGTTAACTAGTCAATCCCGCAGAGATGCTGCTGCAGTTTTCTGTCGATGTCATCGGCATAAGCCAGCAATTGCACGCTCTTGTAGTAAATTGTTCCTGAGCGGTTCAGTTCTGCAGCTCTTATTATCTTCTCCAACATCAGAGTTCAGAACTTGAGGGTGAACGTTCACAAAGGCAAAGAATTCCATTTGTATTCTTATGGAGGCTCACACTCATCTATCAAAACTTGTTGTTCACATGCGAATGCTTTGCGTACGCACACAGTTGAGTGTGAGCTTGAAAAAAGGCATATTATGCACATATGCAGTTTTTATTCCATAATTCTGAAAGATATTTTAATTCTCTATCTTTTGATGTAGCAACTATTGCAAAAAGTTAAGTAATAACGAAGATATTGGTCAAAATAAAAAGCTCACGCTCACATTGAACTGTATAGCAGGCTTTAAAAGTTTACCAGTGCTGTTGTGTTGTTCGCAGTTCAAAAACTGTCACTCGAAATGAAATCGGCCAACTGGTTTATGCGTGTGTATGGAATTTCAAATGGTTGGCCGACAAATCAATGCGTGTGTAGGGCCTTTATTGTGCACAATATACAACTATCGATAGTGTTTAGAAAAATTCGACAGTTGCGGCAAAATGAAACAATCGATAGTTCTCCAACACGTCCAACACTATTCGCTACATCTTGGAAAACGCTCGCCATTTTAGATTTATCCTTGCATTTGCGGACGGTATTGTGTTTCTATAGTACTTGAAAAATTCAACTTTCTTTCATCAAAAAAAATGTCGGAACATTCAGAAGAAGCTAATCATGTCCAAAAGGAGGTTGAAATCGATGGACCGCGAATTAACAATTTCGCACAAAAGTTTCTGGATGAATTAAACGAAGAACGTGAAAGGCTGAGCAGTGAGTTCCCTATATGCGCACTACTAATAGAAGAAGGTACCTACTTGCCCTAATATGTACATACTTATGTGTACACATATTCATAAGTATACACTTGCACTGAAAACTTTAATTTAAAAATCTTAACAGCTATTGAACGGGTCTGCACTACTGGTCGTATACCCGGGCGCGAGTATTATGCCGATGTTTACAAGCAGAAACCCATAAAACTCGTTCAGAAAGTTTTTGTTCCAATAAAGCAATATCCTAAGGTGAGGTTTATACATATTTTTGCAATTAAAATTTTTTTGGGTATTTAAATCTGTGTTTCTCTGCAAAAATAGCTTATGTAGAAACTCTGGCTTTATATATTATCAAGTCTCTTCAAAAAATTCTTTGTCGTTTAAAGAATAAAGGGAATGCCGCATTATACTACTATACTAAAGCCAGCCTTTAGACATAAGCTACTTTTCCAAACCAACACAGAAATATAGGAAGTGTCTACTTACACGCGCCACGGGAACTTTTACCGCAGATCCACGGTAAAAATTACGCCGAAAGAAGTTCTGTCCCACTTCTCCGGCAACACAGAAAGGAGAATTCTGAGTAGTAAGAGTTATAATCCCTAAGCGCGTCTGAAGGCGGCCTACACAGAAAGAAGTTCTGACCCACTTCTCCGGCAACGGAAAGGAGAATTCTGAGTAGTAAGGGTTATAATCGCTAAGCGCACCCGAAGGCCGCCTATGCATAAAAAAGCTCTGGCGCACTTCTCCGGCATCCACGTTATAAAGTTATCGTGGCGCGTGTATACTGACACTGCCTTAAATATCTCTACTCTCTATACAATGTAATTCCAAATTATAGTTCAACTTTACGGGCAAAATATTAGGACCTAAGGGAAATTCACTTCGTCGTTTACAAGATGAAACTCAATGTCGAATTGTAATTAAAGGTCGGAATTCTATACGTGACCGCGTCAAGGAGGAGGAAATGCGTAACTCTGGCGATCCTCGCCACACCCATTTAAGTAAGGATTTATTTGTTGAGATAAGTACTGTTGCAACACCTGCAGAGGCTTATGCACGTGTTGCTTATGCTTTGGCTGAAATAAGGAAATATCTTGTTCCTGACAAGAACGACGATGTTGCTCAGGAACAACTGCGAGAACTGATGGAAATCGATCCGAAATCTGCCAAACAATTTTCTAAGTAAAATAACATTTTGGACATTTAATATTAGTACATATTAATAAAAAGATATTTTTTATGCTTTTCAGATCCATATTTGACAAGAATATTGCAGCCAATGGGCCATCCAAATATTTAAACTTTGTCAAGCAATATGCCTACCAAATGGAACCGTCTAAGTAAGTAGAAAATTCCAGCCCATATCTTTTATTTATCGTGTTCAATAAGCAAATTTGTACGTACTATGTATGTATATGTGTATAGATATTTACTAAATTTTCGTGCTATTTTCTCAAACGTATCAGTTATGTTATGATTTTATAACATGAGAAACGTTGCTATCCATTGTTTTGTGGAAGTCTGATAATTTTATCTATCCAAGTTTTAAAACGCGCCTTTGTATTATTTATTGCTTTTGTACCTATATCTTTAATTTTTATAATTCTCTAAACGGAACTATAGGGATGTAGAGTCCGAAGAGGAGGTGTATGAAGCTCGCATACCTAAGCGCACAATCGTACCAGCTTATGAATACACCAAAGGTAAGCTATTATTAACATTATAATTTGGTATATACATACATATGTTTATATGTACGTCAGTTCATTATGAGGTACTTTTATAAATTCATATAATGAAAGTTACACATAAAAAAATAATACTCAAATTAATTTTTAAATGAATTCATGCAAATAAATACATATAAAAAATATACATATCAATATACAAATAAATAAAATAAAATGAACATAAAAGCTATTAAAATAAATTATTAAACTAAAAAAATATTCTAGCCAAAATTGTTCCATCAACATTGCCCTATAAACGTCCACCTACCGCCGCTATATACGGAACTCAAATGAAACGTTTTCGGGAAGCTCCGGTTAGACCAACAATTAAACCAGTTTTCCATGGAATATTAAAGAGATATAAATGAACAAGTTGACTACATTTAAATAAATTACATTCAAATAAATTATGCAGCATAAGAATACTAAGTATAACCCACATGTAACCCAACAAGTAATTAAACCAAGCATATAAGTTAAAAACAATATGCAATAGAAGCACTTAATTTCACACCCCTTAAAAATATAAAGGTATTTACTTATATTTAAATGATTGTTTAATGGTCTAACAAGTAATAAATAAAATGTTGTCAAATAAATTTAAATTGAATCTACTTTACTGTACACCGAAAACTATTTAACAAAAACTTATAACTCAAATGGAATCGTAATTAGCCGTTGGAAAACTTAAAACGCAGATAATCTATAACTATTTGAAATAAACGAAATAAACTGCAATTTACTTATTTTACTTTATGTCTGCTACATACATATGTAACTTATGTTTTACTAATAAGGAAGAAAAACTACACTAAACATATGGGTGTTTCCATCGGAAGGTCCACCGCGACAAAAAAAAATAAATAAAAATCAAAAAATCAAATTCACTCGGAAGTGAATTGCAGAACCTGCCGGAATAAGTCATATATTTCCAACAAATTCACCCTGAATTGGCGCTGAAGTCAAAATATGAAGTATATTCTACATAAAATACTTGTTTTATTTGCGTTAAAAATTCATTTTAAAGCAATATTAACAAAAATATAACGATGGAAATTTATGTCATGTTTCGCTACGTCACGTGACGTTTCACACTTGGGAGGGTTGTAAAAGAAAATTGAAACAAGTTGCATAAATTCAAAAAAACTCCAAAAACAACTACAATTGCTCCAAATCATATTAAAATAAGTTTCATGAAAATATCCACAATTCGTAGAGTTTTGCGATTTCGTAAGAAAAGAAAAAATCTACTTCCATTTTGTGTCACGAAACGACACTCTCTTTAAATGCTTACATATATTTCAGGACCAAGCAGTTCGATTGTTTTAATTTTTCGGTTAAATATAGAGCTAATTCTGTGCTATACAATGGCACAAAAAAGTTAAAGAAAACAAATGGCATTCCTTGATTGTATCACATTGAAACGTACGACTGTCACGTATGTGACGTATGGAAATACCGATATGCTATCTTAAGGCGGATTTATAGTTATAGCTCTGAACTAAAGTTGAACTCAATTCAAAGCTCAAAAGCGTTCAAAATTTTTTTTTAGTTGCGCTCCCAGAGAGAGAAACAAGACAACAACCACATGGAAGAAAAGTTCTGCTTAATAGAGTTCGACCGATTAATCGGCATCCGCTAGTATCGGCACAAAATTGAGCATGGGCATCGGCCTTTTTTTGCCGATTCTTTGAAATTTATTTTCATATGTTCAGGCAAAGCGACAGACAACAGCCAACATCAATAAAATTATAGTTTAAAAAACTAAAATCTCCCTATTATAATTGTCATTCGTACTGTCATCAGGTATGTAACTTGAGAATAGAAATCGCTGCATCTTTTAGGCGCATCAATATTACATAGTTACATCCCGAGCTAATAAAAGGAAGGTAAAAAACATTTGCAGACAGCTCACAAAAACAATTTTTTTTTTATGAAGGTGTTTAAAAGGCGGCATACACCGTGCGTCTGACTCTTGAGTCGGTTTGGATGTGTTTGTGAAAATAAATATGTTAGTTACACCCACAGTACTGTGAGTTACACCGACATGACTCCTGGCATGACTCTGAACGATTCAACTGTGTGTAGCCGAAGGCGAGTCAACACGTACGCCTTAAGGTTTTTTTCATACAAAAGTATGTTCGTCAATCTTCTTTTATATGGAGGACACTGCCAGCAACAAAAGAGATTGACAAAAATTAACGGGATTTTATAGCAGCTTGAAACTTGCACTTCATTGTACTAGAATTAAATGGTTACAAAACTGCATACCGAAATTCTGTCGAAAAAGTTTGAAATTTTGGTGAAAATAAGCAGAATTTTTTTTAATTTTTGTTCATAGTTTGAAATCTGAATTTATATGGTGTTTGTTGTGGGTACCAGCTAGACTTTTATAAAAAAAATAATAAACATTAAATAAACAAAAGACAAGTGCCAAATGCCAAAACTGGTCAAAATATCGCAATTCTTTAATTTTATGGACCTTAATATTGCGTAAACTGAGTTTAAATTGAGCAGCTGGCTGACATTTGATTGGCTAATCTTACTTTAAACCAGCCAGCTCGGGCGCTTAAACTTAAGTTTAAATCACAGCAGTGCAATGAAAAACTGGCCCTAAGTTAGAAATATGTGTGTGTTTACAGTTTTACCATTGTTATTGAATAAAAAGAACATAAAAGTATCATCCATAAATTCGGATCCAGTTTCGTAGTAGAAGTCTAGATGTGAAGTGATGCCACATATGTTTTCGCCACCGGTATTTCTTTATTTTAGAAACAATATATTTGTATGTCATCTTGTAGTATGTACATATGTGCGTAATAAGCGTTTTTTTTTTTCTTTTACAAATAAACTACCAAGTCATTTTAATACGATTGTTTTATTTGTTTAAAAATATAAATATTTTTTCACATAAAAAAAGTCTTAAGTTCGGGCTTAACTGAACGTTGGATAGCCGGTGCAATTATTAAATATAGTTTTTTTTTACCTTTCCGAAAACTACCGCTACATGGTAAGCAGGGGTGGTTTATCTCTATTTTAAACATCTGCAAAGTACTTATATATAGGCGATATCACGCCCATTTTCCAAAATACCATAATGTTTCTTCTTGTTGTTGTTAGTCGGCCCTATTCTGCATTTCGACTCGAATCGAAATATCGTATCGATCAATCTTCGAATTTTACGATTGTACCTATTCTACATTTCGATCGTAGTTACGTTTTTCTAAGTTGCAATTTTGTAGACGGAGAACGTTTCGATTGTTATTTTCGTGGGTTTAAATATTAAAAAAAAAGTCATAAATGAATTTCCTCGATTTCTGTGTTTTCGCGAGCGGTAATACGGGCAATACGAAAAATTGGCTCAAATAATGCCAACCAAAATGGATATTGCGCGACGTTTTCAAAGTGGAAGTCCAGACGTTTTTGTTTACATTATCTATAAATAAGACTGTGAAATGCACTGAATACAATTTTTTCTTTTTATATAAAATTAATAGATGTATGCACATAGATACATGCATACATAAAATGTGAAGTTACATAAAAAAAATGCTTTTATTATTGCACTCGTTTTTGCTAACTTTTTAAAAAGGGGTGCGTATGTTGTCTCGAATTCGATTTGCTATGGAAAGATAAGCTTTGTTCTTCCCCTCCTCCTGACGGCTTTCATAACGGGATTCATTTGCGTTCAAATCTTCCACTCTGTAGTAAATGCAAATGTTGTGGAGTGCTCAAACAAAGTTTATAATTTCACTGACTTTGAGCGATGAGTAATACAGTTCAAGATGAATTTCTTATGAATCTTCCCTCATCTGAAAAATATCAAACATGTCCCTAAATCTCCACCTTTCAACTTCCGCATCAGCAATCTGGGACTCGTGCTCCTCTTCAAGCAATAACGCCGCGGCTAAGGATTTCATTCTTATAACGGGTGATTTTTTAAGAGCTTGATAACTTTTTTTTTTAAAAAAACGCATAAAATTTGCAAAATCTCATCGGTTCTTTATTTGAAACGTTAGATTGGTCCATGACATTTACTTTTTGAAGATAATTTCATTTAAATGTTGACCGCGGCTGCGTCTTAGGTGGTCCATTCGGAAAGTCCAATTTTGGGCAACTTTTTCGAGCATTTCGGCCGGAATAGCCCGAATTTCTTCGGAAATGTTGTCTTCCAAAGCTGGAATAGTTGCTGGCTTATTTCTGTAGACTTTAGACTTGACGTAGCCCCACAAAAAATAGTCTAAAGGCGTCAAATCGCATGATCTTGGTGGCCAACTTACCGGTCCATTTCTTGAGATGAATTGTTCTCCGAAGTTTTCCCTCAAAATGGCCATAGAATCGCGAGCTGTGTGGCATGTAGCGCCATCTTGTTGAAACCACATGTCAACCAAGTTCAGTTCTTCCATTTTTGGCAACAAAAAGTTTGTTAGCATCGAACGATAGCGATCGCCATTCACCGTAACGTTGCGTCCAACAGCATCTTTGAAAAAATACGGTCCAATGATTCCACCAGCGTACAAACCACACCAAACAGTGCATTTTTCGGGATGCATGGGCAGTTCTTGAACGGCTTCTGGTTGCTCTTCACTCCAAATGCGGCAATTTTGCTTATTTACGAAGCCATTCAACCAGAAATGAGCCTCATCGCTGAACAAAATTTGTCGATAAAAAAGCGGATTTTCTGCCAACTTTTCTAGGGCCCATTCACTGAAAATTCGACGTTGTGGCAGATCGTTCGGCTTCAGTTCTTGCACGAGCTGTATTTTATACGGTTTTACACCAAGATCTTTGCGTAAAATCTTCCATGTGGTCGAATAACACAAACCCAATTGCTGCGAACGGCGACGAATCGACATTTCACGGTCTTCAGCAACACTCTCAGAAACAGACGCAATATTCTCTTCTGTACGCACTGTACGCATTCGTGTGGTTGGTTTAATGTCCAATAAAGTAAACTGAGTGCGAAACTTGGTCACAATCGCATTAATTGTTTGCTCACTTGGTCGATTATGTAGACCATAAATCGGACGTAAAGCGCGAAACACATTTCGAACCGAACACTGATTTTGGTAATAAAATTCAATGATTTGCAAGCGTTGCTCGTTAGTAAGTCTATTCATGATGAAATTTCAAAGCATACTGAGCATCTTTCTCTTTGACACCATGTCTGAAATCCCACGTGATCTGTCAAATACTAATGCATGAAAATCCTAACCTCAAAAAAATCACCCGTTAATTATGTTTCCACTTAATTAAGAGCAAACGAAATTTTATTTTTAATTACAGTGATGCTAGATAACTATATTTAGTTATTTTAAAATATTTACAAACTTTAACCATATGCTGCTATAGTTTTGTGGCAAATATTTCATTGTTTTGTTTCGATTTCACACATTCCTAGGCAAACAGCTGATTTCGGAAGATGTCCTCTCTTCCTCTTCTTTCGTTTCGATCGTAACGCAGAATACCTAAGTTCGATTCCAGCGGAGCGGAATGCGCGAACGTAATCGAAATGCAGAATAGGGCTGAGTATCAATTTTGTGTAAATTAGCGTCCTTAAATTTCGTAATATCGAAGTTTCAAGCATTTCTGAAATTTACCGTTAAATAAAAAGTTGGCGTAAATTTAATCCGATTTCAATAATTTTGAGCGTTTTGCTTGCTACGCCCTTTTTCCAAAAATGTATAATATTCTTATTTTCTGTCTAAAAATCGGTGTGAATATCAGTTTTGAGTGAATAGGCTTAGTAGTTACTAAAATATCGCAGTTTTTGTATTTCTGAAAACTACCGTTATATGGGAGGTAAGCGTGGTTATTGTCTGATTTTGCCGTTGTACGTTCAGTTAGACTTATACTAGGTTCACATATAAGTAAATTATCCTCATTTTCGAGCTTAACACCCTAATCTGTAATTATAACAAGAGATTGGCCATATAAAATTCGTCCCTTGTTAATCTGTAATTATAAAATAATCTCAGATTTAACCGATAACTTTTCGGTGTCCATCCTAGTTTTATCGATTGTTTTTACGAAAGAGAGGAGAAATGCCAAATGTAAAAGTAAAAAAAATCATGATGCAATAATACAAGGTGGTATCAGTTGTGACAGCTCGATTTGACACTGCTTTAGCTCAGTAGAATAAGAAGAAAAAGGGGAAGAAATGAATCCCCATATGGGGGAAAAATATAAAATTTAACATTTTCTCCTAAACAAGATTTGCCTTTTTATAGAACATTCGTTATGAAATGAAATAAAATAAGATAAAATACCTTTTTAAGAAAACAAAGTGTGTATACTGAGGAAAAATTAAAAACATTCAACTATATTAATGGGCAAAGAATAGTTAAAGAAGTAACACTGTTTCACGTAAGGCAGTCAATATGGCGGAATTAGAGCGACTGATAACACCTTGTATTATTGCCTCATGAACAAAAATGTACGCTAGCAAATAAAAGAGGTTTGTAAAGGTATTTTAAATAAAATGTTAAGTTCAAATATATTTATATTGCCTATTATAAGCAGAAAAACGTGATCACGGTGGCACAGAGAAGAAACATAATTTTTCCTTGAGATGTGAGAATAACAAGCACAACAAATTTGACGGCTAATAATCCGAGATTTGCCTGTGTAAACGGGGTGATTAAAAAACGAGCTTTGATTGAGATAATATTGATATGTGAACATAGTTTTATTGAGATAAACACCCATATTTTGAGTGTCGACTAGTAGTAGATAAACGATTATTGGTCGATTATCCTTGGTATTTCCACCGTCGTTTCCTCGTTCAATTAGTTAGTGTGAATAGTTTTTAGTCGCTCATCCTTCTAAAAAGACACAATTTTGTGGTATTCACAAAACCATGGAAATGGAATTGGTTCTTGGTTGCCCTGGGTTACCCAACAGCTACGACTTGTGAACGCGCCCATTGAATTATGGATTTGGATAAGGAAATAGTGCCTGCCAACTCTGTCATTTTTTGACATCTGACATACTGTCAGCAGTTGTCATTATTTCTTTTTAAAGTTATTCGCAATTTTTCTTTCTGAAAAAAATAGAATATTTGTTAATTTGCCCAGTTTTGCTAATACATAATTGAAAATAAAAAAAAATCGAATCGGAAAAGGGGACAGCGTCACTCCTAATGTAATTCTCTAAAGGTACATATTTATAAATAAAATGTCCATATCAAAAAAAGAACACAACTAATTGACCATCAAGTGTTATCTGTGTATATATTTACACGTCCATTCATACATGTTTTTAAATCAAAATATTTTAGGTTGAAAATGTCCAACTTTAACTATATCGACAGAGTTCCTGTTAAAATAGCAGAGAACTTTAAGCCACCGCCAAGATTATATCAACTGCCACTGGTCATAGTGCATAAATTACAATTACCAGCAAACCATTACAATGATGCGCCGCAATATTCGTATGATTTTCAGCTCGAACGGAAGGTACTTACCAAAATGCCGGAATGGCGACGTATGCGACAACTAGAGCGTGAAGCACGTAGAGATCGGAAAGAGCGCCGGGAACGGGAAAAGTTGCATGAATTAGAGTCGAAAAATAAGCAGATGCTGGGAGCTGTAAGTTATCCCAGTGCTGATGATCTGTCTAGTTCTGATAGTGACTCAGAAGAGCAAAAAGACGATAAGCAAATAAATGTTGCACGTAGTCCTGATCTAGAGCAAACATCGGTTTTACCTACGCAAATCAGTAGCTTTCACACTATACTGCAACCTACAATTTTATCCATAGGGGATGACAAATTCCAAATACCAAATGGTTTATCAGTTGAAGGTTTGCAATCACATCCCAAAAATGGAAAGTATTCTGGCGGTTCCAAGGAGGTCAATGCATTTAACTATAAAGACTTTGAAGAAGACACATCGTCACCTTTCGATAATATTGAACTTAAAACAATTAATGATTTGGATATTTTAGCACAAGTGCTGCATAATACGCAGCTGCATACGCAAAAAAATCAAATTAAAGATGAATCAACGGAAAAGTCGCCAGAAGAGGAACCTAAGGAAATTGATGTAGATAGTATTAAATCCCAGCTAGAATCCAAAGAGAATACTCATAATACTAATGTATATAAAATAATATCGAACTCAAAAGACAACTTGCCACAGGATAGGGACTTTGAAGGTTTAGAAAATAATAAGACGTCGCTACAAAGAGTCAGTTTTGAAAATTATGGACAGCAAGGTTGGTGCGATGTAAACATTCCAAATGCAATCATAACCAACAATAGCATTACTAGTACTGCAAATTTTATTGGTAATCATTGCAACATATCGACGTGTACGTCTTTTGCTCCATCAAATCAGCAAGAATCTACCCAGCAACAATCCTATTCAATGGCTTATGGTACACTTTATAATAGCCATGTGGAGCCACAATTATCACAGCATTATACAAATTTGAATGTTCACTCAACACATTGCACGCCCGCGACATACGGTAATCAAAATTATGTATATGCACCCGCCTACAATGGCATCTCTTCCGCATATTGCAGTCCCAGGCATATGCAGCAACATAGCACGAATGTAAATTCTACATATTTGAGCAGCAACATAAATAACTACGGAAGTTCGACATCTGTTAGCAATGGTATACACTTGCAGCAACAACAACAACAACTTCAGCCAACGAATGAATATAACGAATTAAATTCAAAGTCGAAGAGCGTGCCAGATATATTAAAGGAATTAAGCGATGAAGTGCGAAATTCGGAAATTCGCAGATCTCGTTACTACAGTTTCAACTCTGAAGAAGGAAAACAAAATGATGAAAAGCAAGATGTGGATGAAGGTATTTTGTTATATTTACCTACATATTCATGAATCCGGGATTAATTTTTATATAACATAGATATAACTCCGAAGCAGTCGCCAGTGAAAGTACCTAAAAGTTCACACGATACAAATTATTATGCCGAATTGTCACCAGCTGCGCAGAGATTAGTTAAAAATATAAGCTCAATGGGATTCCCACTACAACGTGTGGCAAAGATTTCACAAGTTTTCGGTACAGATGACAAGAAGGTTAGAGACTGTTTCCAGTCGAATGTGTGAAACAACAATCAATTTATTCTTTAATTCGGAACACCTAACTTTTATTCAGATCTTTAAAGTAGTCATACGCATTTTATTTCTATTGTAGATCGTTGAACATTTAATACCGCTGAGTGAGCTAATGGATCTGGGCTTTGATGAAGCAAAAATCTCAGAGGCGCTGATAAAATTCGATAATAATAAGGAAAAAGCCTTGGAGTATTTAATTTCATAATTGTGTCCAAACGAGTCGTATAATGCATCTAGACATTTACGTATATTAGTATCATCACATTGTGTATGCATGTATTATTCTTAGATAAAACAGTTATCATATAGCATATATGTATATATTATATTATTTTTGTGCAAATAATAACGAACCTCGGAAGAATTTCAAAACCAAACTTGATACATTTTTATAAACCGCGGTGCAAGAGATGTAGGAAACAAGTATGTAGAAAATATGCAGATTATCAATTGTAATATCAACAAGTATTTCACTTAAAATATTCCATAAAAAGCAAACAAATTAAGAGCTTGTATTTTTACAGAAGACGGTAACACATGTAAAAATTAAAAGTTCATTTATTAACGCTACAAAAATTGCAAATGTAATTGAGAATTCCTACAAATAAATATAAATCAAGAAAATAGTGATACATACGTATTGTATGTTCGTATGTATATTTTTTAGTTAACTTAGATCATAATATATCATGCAAATGTGCAACAGATATGAACAACACAATTCCTAAAGAATTTGAAATGGCATTGCTTATTTCGTCCGTCTTGTGATGCTGTCGACTTTTAGAAGTTCTCTTAATAATTTTCATATTACGCACTTTGATCTCATCTTGGTATCTGCTATTAATTCATTGCTCCCATTAGGAGATTCACAGCAACATCTATATTTCCACTTGCTATGGTCAAATAGACTAAATTGTCCTCATAATTGACCAGTCCCATTTGTGCCATAGTGCGCAGTTCGTTGGCGTATTGATGTGTGCGGTACTGTGATGGCAGATCGTCACTTTCATCGCCGGCGCCATTATCTGCGGTTGTTGATTCTGTTGTATCCATTTGATGTGTTTCCGCGTTTTGGCTAGTATTGCTAACGCCGGAACCGCCCACTTGGTTGCTACGTTGACTCAACGATTCTAATGCACGCTGCAATTCTGTACGAAACATAGCTGACGAAATCCGTTCACCACTAGCTGAGTTTGACAGCGGTGCAGATGGGGCAGCAGTCGCGTCTGGTGTTGCTGCCGTGCCTGATGTACTATTAGCATCACTATTCCTTTGGGCAATGTTGGAAAGGGAATTTACCGAACCGACACCAATCCGTGCCAGTGCTGCTTGCAATTGTTGACGGCTTATCATGCGTATACGTGCATTTTCCGATTGGGAGCCAGACTCTGATCGCTCGTTACTTGTGCTAGCGCCCAAGGAATTTTCCTCTTCAGAAGAATTTGTTGAGTCAGTAGCTGGTTCTGAAACTGATATCCAAAAATAATGCACATTAATTAAATAAAATGAATTAAGAGGATATGGGCTCGTTACGTGTGGTAGAAGAACTCCTTGCCAATTCCTTTTTAATAGTGTCAACCATGAACGGAGCAGCCTCACATATAATAGGATATGTTTCGGAAATGCTTTTTACAACTTGTGGATGATGCAGTGTATTAAAAAGCACTGAGTCTCTTATAAGAGCTTGTGCGCCTAAATTACGTCGAAATTCTGGATACTCTGCCAGGATTTTCTGCAAGATATTGACACGCGAATTTACATTTATTTGAGTATGTGCGATTACGTTAAAAAGCTCATGGATATGAGTGATATTTGCAGGACTGGTTACATCTTCTGGTGGCACATACGGAGAATTTTGCTTCGTCTTGGTAAAGCAATGGACGGTCGCGTTAGGACGCACAGTTTCCAATAACTTTTTTTCATCATTAAGAGCTATACCGTTGTATATTATTTCTGCAACATTGGTAAATAATAAAAATAAAAAAATATCTAGTCTGGAATAGATTTTTCAAAAAATTAAACACATACCCAATTTTGTCGCGTCGTACTGCAGTTTCTTACCAATTTCTTCTTTCAAGTAATGCACATTACGTGCAAAGTCGATGTCGTCCAGCGGAAGAAATTCATTAGGTTTTTCTTGTAAATGTATACCAGCGAATAGTGAAGGCATTTTTATCAATTGTATAAAAATAAAATTTGATAGATTAATTTCCGACTGAGTGCAACAAATATTGAAAAACAATTGAAAGACAAAAAACTGTGACAAATACTGCTGCGCTTCAATTTGAAACGTCATGCACACAGAGCTGCCGTGTAATAAAAATTTGGTGTTAAAAATAAACCAAATAAATTTTATTCAAGCGGATTTTATTTTTTTGTATACTTTTTTACTAACGAATTAAGTAGTTCAGCGTAAATTAATTAATTGATCAGCATTAAAATTACTAGGGCTCTTCAGGATCTTGGGCATTTGCTCTTGCAAGTGCATATTCGTTACATTTGTAAGTTGACAACATTAACACGGTTGCCATGGCAGCAAGCATAAAATTTGCAAATGCAATTCCAACTGCAAACTCCAGACCATTTCCACAACATCCTGAACGGCCCTACTTTTTTAACCCACAGTGCGCATGCGTCGATTTGACAGCCGATTTTGTAATCAAACAGGCAAGTAGAACAAAATAAAAGGAAATTAACAATTATTTATTGCACTAAGTGACACATCTACCTTGTTGTATTATACTTCTTAAAAATGCCGGAAATATTGAGCTGTGATTTTGAAGTACATGGAATAGTTCAAGGTAACCCGCAAATTATTAATTTTTTTGCAATGTATTTCTTACGCCAATGAACGTAACCACTTCTTTGTAGGAGTATCATTTCGAATGGTAAGTTTGGGATTTTAGTCAATCAATTCGGGCTAGGCTAGCGCTATTAATAAACAGGCAAATAATATGCTGTACGTGTCATAAATCAACATATGTATACAATAAAAGCTTGTAAGAATAGTATTAAAATTAATTGGTCCATAGTTAACTGCGCATAACCCAGCAAGCCTTTTTTCATGATTGTTAAACAAATTTTTTGCAGTACACCGAAAAGCAAGCAATATCTTTAGGTGTGCGCGGATGGTGTATGAACACACCGTACGACACTGTCAAGGGACAAATTGAGGGAACCACCGAGACCTTCGAGCAAATGTAGGTACAAAAGAAGGCATATTCAATAAGGAAGAAGTTTTTTCGACAGTTCTCCCTTTTGGAGTGCTCTCAAAATGCCAAACATAGAACAAAATATCGCAAATAATATTAAAAAAATTCCTTAATTTAAATTTTCTTATAACGTCGGCTACAAAGAGCTCTAAAGAGCTTCTAAGAGATTTTATGTAATCAGCTGGAGTGACAGCCCTTAATTAACCACATATATTTTATTTGTTTAAACGGCAATCGGCTTACAGATAACAACTGTCATGGGAACGGATATTCGGATAATTTTTTCGTCACTTCTGCCTTGTTGAATATATCTTTCTCCAAAACAACGTAAAATTAACTACATACATAAATCCTTTGCAATTTTTTATAGGAAACATTGGCTGCAGAAAACGGGAAGTCCTACTAGTCGCATTGATAAGGCCGACTTCAGCGAGACAAAAAAATTACAAGATTTCACATTTTCGAATTTTTCAATTCGCCATTAATTATACGTAGCTATTATGTAAATATTTATGTGTGAATAAACGCGAACGTAAGAACCAAATTAATCGGCTTTATCGCGAATTTCACGTGAACAAATGTTCCCAAAATTTATAAAGCAAAACAAAAACCGATTTTTCCCAATTTGTGAAATGGAGTTGCATTTAGTTGCATTTAGGTGACGAATTTTGTATGGATAAATGTACATTTAGTGTAGCATTTAGAGCTAAATGCGCTAAATGTGATTTTCCCATAATCAAAAACAGCCCATTATTATGCAACGCTAAATATGCATAACTGAGCTATAAGAAATGTGAAATTAAAGTATTGAATTCAATTCTACTCGAATTTGAAAAAGAGTGGGTGAGAAGAAACGGGGACGAGTACACATGCGTCTGTACCGTGAAGTCGTTTCAACTTTCTTCCTTTGCTTTTGACATTTTCGTTGTTTCCCATTTAAAAAAACAAAATCTTGAATTCAAATCGAGTTTGAATAGCTAATTCGCAATTTAATTAATTTAAAAGACTTTAAATGTTGGGAGAATTCAATATAATTTTGATTTGAACACTTATGAGTAATCAAAAGACAGTTAAATGAATGAACAATCGTTCTCGAGTGCTTTAGGTCATTGAGTTTATTGTGAATGACGTTTTCTGTGAAGTTGGTTGTGGTTGCCATTCTCCTTCAGTCGTGTCGTTTTTACGTGCAATCGTTGGTTGTGCCCGATGGTGCGCGGAAAAATTTGGTGAAGTTGGTTTTAATTTGTGAAAAATTCCTATTTTTACATTTCCAAATTGGTGAAGAAGTCGATAAAAGTCTCACTATTGAATAAATTGCGCGTATTTCCACCATATAAAGATTTTTTATCAAAAAAACTGCATTGAAATTTCAGGATTTCTAGCATTTTTTCGCTTTGTTAAATGACTTGCGCTTGAAAAAGAGGAAAAGAGAAAGCGGCAAACGCATTTCAAGATAATGGCGGCATGACTTGGTACTTTTCAGTTTGTTTAAACGAGAAAGCTAGCTGTTGTGATTCGCGTGAATGTGCACTCACTTAAACGTGTGTGTTCGTTAATCGCAAGCAACAAAGGAGCTAAGCGGATACGCAAGATGTTCTGTGCATTCTGTGTGCTGTGAGTACGTTTTCGTTAAACAGAACGAGCGAAAAGTACTGTTTTTTTCAGTGCCGTGCGCTGAGCTTTGAAGCGAAAGCGGGACAGACGAACTGTGTAAAAGTGTGCGCATGTTCGATTTTGAAATCTTTTTAATTTGGATTTTGTGAACGGATTTTCCTCACAGTAATCGGAGGAATTGAATTATTTGTCCCCATTGTTACTCGTTGACTGTTTTGCTTGTTAAAAGTAAAGAGAAGGAGGAATAACATCGACGGTAGGGAGTGTGTGTTTGTTTTATGTGAAATAAAAGGAAAGTAAAATATACAATAAAAACAAATATTCAACAAAAAAGAGTTTGGAAAAAATTATATAGCATAAAATGATTAAAATGGAGACTGACAAAATTATGGACGAGACTAACTCCAATTCGCAAGCAGTAAGTGTGTTTATTTATCTTTTACTTCAAATTTATTAAATATGTTGGTGGCTTACATAAATTGAGAGACCCTGACTATATTAATTCGCATATATTTATTCGTTATATTGATATAAATAATAATGAATGTATATAGATATGTTTGTATAATGAATTTATGCATTACAATTTTCATTAATTTCAGGCATACATATCTACATATTTACGGACATACATTTTGTATGTGCGTACATATGTATATGCAAATTTGTGCAAACTTATTTACGCACGTAGAACGTATGTTTGTACATACATCATCACGTGCAATCCTTATATGGGTGTTTGTAGCGGAAAGTCTGGGACAATTTGGTTTATTTTAAACCGACTTCGAAAAAAAGAGGAAGGTTATCAAACCGTCGGAGTATTTTTTTTTTTTATGTATGTTACCGCATAACTTTGGACCACGTTAGCCGATTTCTATAATTCTTTTTTTAAAGGAAGGGTTTACCTCACAGGTCGTCCCATTCTAATTAGCTTTAAATCCGATCATTGGATCATGATGAGATTAACGATAATCTTAAATGTTAATATGAGAATTGAAGTCGGTTTTGTTTTTGCTTAAAAATTGCTTGTTATAATATATACTGGTTATTTATGGCCGTTATCTAATGTAAGCAGTAAAGTTGCCTTTACTAACAGGGCAGATAAATTGTTCCTCACCTTAAAGTGTTTTCGTTTTCTTATCTTACAGGTAAAAACAAATTTGTTATTCCGTAGAGTGAAACTTCACTACATTTCCGACAGTGAAACTTCACTACATTCGTCATAAAATTTCAAAGGTTGAGAATGCAACATCAGCAAATATAGAGCAAGAGCAACTGTTAGCAAAAACCAAAACCTTGGTCATTCCCACGACAGCCGGTTCTACGTACCGGAATGAATCGGGTTTTACCCGACTAAGGCCTGCTGTTTCGGCGATCTAACCCCGTTTAGGTCACGTGTGTCAAGTTAGCTCTACACTTTTTGAAATTGGAAAAGTTAACTACGGCATTAATTGTAGTGTTTTTGTTGTGGAGAGAAAAAATTTGTAGCTCTCGTTTTTTACGAAAAAATGGTATGTAGTGCAAACTTGACATCATACACCTACTCGATAGAATTGAGATATTGAAAATGTTATAACGGCATTAATTGTAGCTTTTAACTTTAAAATTTGTTGTGGAAAGAAAAAATTTGTAGCTCTCGTTTTTTAAGAAAAAATTGTATGTAGTGCTAACTTGACACCATACACCTAGTCGATAGAATTGAGATATTGAAAATGTTATAACGGCATTAATTGTAGCTTTTAACTTTAAAATTTGTTGTGGAAAGTGTTTGTTCGAAAAAGGGTCAACTCAATTTTTTCCAGAAAAACGAAAGCTACAAATTTTTTCTTTCCACAACAAGTTTTAAAGTTAAAAGCTACAATTAATGGCATAGTAACATATTGGATATCTCAATTCTATCGACTAGGTGTATGGTGTCAAGTTGGCACTACATACCATTTTTTCTTAAAAAGCGAGAGCGACAAATTTTTTCTTTCCACAACAAATTTTAAAGTTAAAAGCTACAATTAATGCCGTTATAACATTTTCAATATCTCAATTCTATCGACTAGGTGTATGGTGTCAAGTTAGCACTACATACAATTTTTTCTTAAAAAACGAGCGCTAAAAATTTTTTCTTTCCACAACAAATTTACAACAAAAACACTACAATTAATGCCGTAGTTAACTTTTCCAATTTCGAAAAGTGTAGTGCTAACTTGACACACGTATATTTTAATATATTTGTAAATAACCCCTATTGTGATGTATACAGCACAGGTCAAAATAGTAGCAGTTTTTTTTTTTTGAAAATTTTTAACTTCATTTATTTTTTATTTAAATTTAATTAGGAATTAAAGCAGTTCCTGAAGGCCTGACCCATATTTAATTTTTGATTTTAAATTTTCTAACTATATACAGGAAGTAGGTACTTTGGAAATACTTGGGACGATCGTTAAAAATCTCCAGTAAAAATTATCCAACATCGAAATTCCGGCGAAATGTCATCTGTTCGCTCATGAGCGAAAAATATCCAGAATAGCACCCGATCCGAAAGTTTGCAGAAACTTGCAAGTTAGACGAACAGCTATTGGAATTTATGTTTGCATTCAAAAGTATAAAAGTTAAAATTTTCAGAAAACTGATCAAAAAGTGTTATCCTGACAAAAGTTATTGACTACACGAAAGCAGAAACTAGAAAATTCTGCTTAAAATTAAATGTCACTTTGCTCTCACAATTTCCCCTACTTTGTAAATTTTGGCGTACGCGAACGCTTTTTAAGCTGTTAAAAGTATGATTCTTACAACTGGCCTTATTTTAAAGCGCACCTTGTTGCCATTAACAGCACACTTGGACTCATTTGCGAAAAATAAACGCGAAAGCTAAACTTGAAAGTAACTGTATAATGGCTCTATTTCATCGCACACCACTGTTGGTATCGAATTGTGAATAGAAACATGTTTGCAATGAAACTCAATTTTAATGTTTTTAAGTTCTATAGCTAGCTGTTGATCGCTTTGACCTTTTCGAGAGCGTGTACTTGTTTTTGCTTGTAACAATGCCCTTGCGAAAAAAAAAAAAAAAATAAAAAAAATAAATACAAATAGGTGAATACGTTTTCATATGTATGTACATACATACATACATGTGAAAACTCATATTTTGATATAAGGGACAAGTGAAATTGAAAAATGCATAATTTCCATTTAAATTCAACTAAAGGCAAATTTGCCTAGTCTAAAAGAGGCATAGCAAATTCGATAAGTTCGAAATGATACGAAATATTTCAATTAACATCGGATCCTTCTGTTTCGTCGTATGGAGTTTGGGTTTTACTTTAAACACGAATAATGTTGAACTCAAGGGCTATAAAAAGATTTTTTCCTTTCCAAGTAAATTCCAAAAAGGGACTTCGCAACTTTTCACGTATGTATGTAGGTACACACACTCACGGAAAGAAAAATAGGAACAGGTACACTTTGATTAGTTTGGGATAGTTTTCGTTTGTTTATTTAATGTTTATTAATTTTTTAAAAGACTTCACACCATATACATACAGTATCGGCCATATTTATAGCACCGCCATTTCAAAGTGATATTGTTTGCTACTTATGTTTAATTATTTATTTTTAAGAATTTTCAATTAAAATACAGTTCATTCTCTTACAAAACCCATATAAACCCAAGTTTAAAACTTCGCAAAAGACTACAAAAAGGGCACAAATTTTCAACAAAATTTTAAACTTTTCTCAGAAGTGCTGGCATTTTTTGAGTTTTATAGCTCATTTAGCATTAAGATCTAATTTTAACAACCTGCGAAATAATTAACAAAAAAAAAAAAAAAAAAAAATTCGAAGGTTTACTTAATCGCCTTCTCGTGCAAAATACTTATGTGAGTCACTGTATATAGTTTTAAGTGCAAGTTTCAAGTGGTTAAAAATTACCGTTGATTTTTTGAAGATTTTTTTTGACGCATTTGCCTCCATATAATGAATAAACAATATATTTTTATATGGAATCAACACTTTCGGCGAGAAAAATTCTTAAAAATCAATTACATACATTATTAGACTAAAATTTAATGGGCTATAAAACTGTGTACTCAAACAAATTCTAACATTTCTGGGAAAAAAATTTGAAATTTGGGTGACATTTTTTTGCACTTTTTGTAATTTTCTACAAAGTTTTAAACTTGGATTTACATACTATTTGGGTTTTGTTAGAGAATGAACTGTATTTTAATTGAAAGTTCCTAAAAATAATAAACATGAGTGGCAAACAATAGATATCACTTTGAAATGGGGGTACTATTCTGTGTTCGTATGGAAAAGTAGCTTATGTCGAAAGGCCGGTTTTAGTATAATGCGGCATTCCCTTTATTTTTTAAACGACAAGGAATTTTTTGATGAGACTTTAAAAGAATATTGACTTGCTAGTACCGGAACTATTTCTTGCACGTTTATTTGCTAAAAGTTGTTTAACGGCTTAGCGCCCGTAAGTCATTCGCAATCGTATGCTGCGAATGCCGATTTATACTAAAGCCAGCCTTTCGACATAAGCTACTTTTCCATACGAACACAGTATTGTATTGACATACATATGTATATTGTACATAATTTCACATTTCAAACTTTGTACAAAAATTAAAATAAAAAATTAATTTATTAAAAATTTGTAAACAGATTTTTACACCCCTATTCTGCACATCTTTCCTATTCGGATTTTGGTACGAATCGTAGAAATAGTACGAAATCCGAATCCGAATCATATTTTCGAGTTTCGTACCAATGGCATGCCTAAAAACGAGCGAGTAAGAAATTGACAGCTTTTTTGCGCAATTTTGTACAAAAAAAATTCTGTGTCGGAGGCGAGATAAAAGATGTACATCGATCTGTGTTTTGCAGATTATATTAGTGGTGTTCATTTAAACAGATAAATTTGCCTTTCGAGAAACTTGTGTCCGGTTTAGTTATTAGTACAATGATTGTCGGTTGTTGTGTCCAAACGTATAACCAGAACCTAAAAACTTTTACATACACGTGTAATCAAAGGATTAAACTTTCATTGCATGCCTTTGAAATGCGGAGGCCCCCCTCATCTCCGGCAAGACAGAAAGCAGACTTACTTATACTTATAATCCCTAAGCGCGTCCGAAGGCAGAAACAAGCTCAACAGGTGGTGGACCCAACAAAGTGCATGTTATCAATGGCTTGGAAGAAGTTATTATTGCATTAACTGGATTGAGAACCAGTTCTTCAGGCATAGGAGGTTGTGGTTGAACAATGAAACCAGAAGCTGACATAGATGCGTCCATGGTTACTATGCCCGACAGCTCCGCATACCTTTGTGAATTCACTTCCATAGTGCGCTCTTACTCTGCTGCTATAATTGCAATTGGAATAGAATCCATCGTTTCCTTCAAAATATGAAAAATCAATAAATTTTACCATAAATAAGCACTTGATGAAGGTTTTTTTTTAATTCGTTTCCACTTTGTTTTCCTTCATACTGTCTTCGAAAAACAACTGATAGCTGGCAATGCTGCACAGGTGTAAAGCTTGCGAAGCGAATGATTTTGGCGAAGCGAACGGTTTGGCGAAGCGAACTAAGAACTTCTACAAGCTCGTACAAGCGAACACTCTTAATGCATATTTAAGTTGCGTGCACAAATCCATTCGCTTCGCCAAATACATATTTACCGATTAACTAGCCATAGGTGCAGTTTAAGATGCCCCGTTAATAGATGCTTAATAAAAATATAAACTTTTTTAAGATAAAGTTATTCTTTTTAAATCGAAATTCAAACCTCCTTCTAAAGTGACTTAATTGGTTTTGTCGATTTATATGTATATGAATGTTTGTTTGTCTGTTAATTCGTTTGTTTGCTAATTACTTACTAATGTTTTTTAATATTTTCTTTCTATTTGTAAAAACATTTTTTATGCGGTCTTTTTACCATATTTGATGTCTTGCCGTTTTTCTAACACTGGAAATTCACCTACATCGATATACAACAACATTACACCAAAAACAACAACCACAAAAAACAGTTCACATCGACAATGCTGTATGATCCCGTCCGTAAGAAAGAATCATCGCAAATATTTCAAAATGAACGTGAGACCTGCTTAACCTACTTCTCGCAATGGAACGAAGCGGATCAGGTTGAATTCGTGGAGCAGCTGCTCACGCGCATGTGCCACTACCAGCATGGACACATAAATGCGTTTCTCAAACCGATGCTGCAGCGTGACTTTATCACATTATTGCCGAGTAAGTAGTGCCTAGTGATTTAATTATGTACTATACATATGTACATACAGTAACTCACAAAAATAAGTACACAGTTATATAACAGAAAAATCCGCAGTTCTGCAAATTAACATCAAAATTTTTAAATTTTTAATCAGAAGCTCAAAAATCGTGATGGGCACGTTATTCCATATACATATGTATGCGTGTATGTAAGAGCACTCGTTAAATTAAAGAAAATGCGCAACACCGTCAGCAATAAAAGTCAACGCGATTGAGCCACCTCAAACTACTCGAGAGCCTCAGTATCTCGAACAACGACTTCAGATCAATAGATCTTCTCGATCTCTACTGAATTCTAGCTTAAAATATAACAGCTTGATAACTGAACGTCAGTTCTTTATTTTCTCCATACATCTTTGGAACGAAATTGGATGGAATATGCGGAATTTTTTTTTAAATTTTGCAATAAGTTCGGAGCATAGATTTACAAAGTATGTAAATGTGTTTGGTTATATTTGTATAAAAATTTTACGATAATTTATACCATGAATAACGTTTTGAATATTGTAAAATGCGAATTGTGTAGTTATTTTATGAGTTACTGTATTAGATTAAAGCAATACAAGAGTATAAAAATATTATTTTTTGGTGTTTCGCTGCTGCTGCTATCAGCTAATTGATATTTTTTATTTTATACCTTTTGCTTACTATTTACATACATACATCTGTACATACAGTTGCGGTCAATAAGATAGTAGCAAAATTCAAAATGATATTGTTTGCAACTTATGTTTATTTATTTATTTTTAATAATTTTCACTTAAAAAATATAGTTCGATCCGTGATATAAATATTAATATGTAGGTAGTTTCACTTCTTCTTGGCCGCCATTGCACCCTTTTGACGTGAACTGTGCTTTTGACATTTTCTTTTAAATTCATTGATGGTGGTTTACTTAAAAAAAATATATATCTCTAAAAAGATATAAAAAATATATTTTGAGCATCATTTTATAGCGAACTTGAAATGATTAGTTTTTAAAATTAAATATAAAACGGAAGGCAAGAGAAATACTCGTTTACATTGTGTAATCACATAGTGAATCTAGTTGTTTATGCAATTATTTCATCATTACTTAGTGAGATTAGCTTAGCTGTAGCCTCGGGACTGAAAAAATTCATCAAAATTTCAAACTTCTTATTCAGAGTCTTAAGAAGATTTTCGAGTATGCAGCTTTTCAGCGTATTCAATTTTAGTTCAATAAAATGCAAGTTTCAAATAGCTAAAATCTGACCTTTGATCTTTGAGATTTTTTTGGCGCGGCTGTTGAGCATTTTCTTCTATATAACACTTTTCACAAAAATTTGATTTTGATATAAGCCCTCGATATCTAATTTTATATTTTCCTCTATATAATAGCCTAATATCCTCTACCAAAAAAAAAACAAAAATCAACGGTAATTGTTAGTGACTTGAAACTTGCACTTGAATTGGGCTACAAGACTGCTAAAAATTCTGAAAAAAGTTTAAATTTTTTTTTCAAAATCGATTTTTATATAGAATTAAATGCGCAACACCTTCCAGAAAAAAAAAACAAAAAATTAACGGTAATTTTTGGCTACGTGAAACTTGTACTTTATAAGACTAAAATTGAATGGGCTACAAAACTGCATACCTGAACACATTTTTTAAATTTTCTGCCCTTTCCCCGTTCAAACGAAATTTTTTTTATCCGCCCATAGTAAATACATGGAAACGAAAAGTGAAAAGTGAACCGGTTCGGGGAAAATGAAACTCGTGATTAATCCTCATTGGTCCTTTGTATACGACCATATCGACGACCCCTTTGCGCGGAATTATCGTATGTGCCAGAAACAAAATTTTACAGGAAATTTTTGGAATTTTTTATTTCTAATTTTTTTACTACATACGTACAAAATACTTTTGTATGGCTCATACGAAAGTTTGCACACAAGAAAAAATTTATTGCAACATACGATAAAATATACAGTCTATTTTTGGATTAAAAATAGGTATTTCAGGTAAAATATTTTACCAGGTGATGCGTTGTTAGTGTAAAAAATAATTGTATCAAAAAGCCAATTTCGAAAAAATGGCACATACGATAACTTCGTGCAAAGGGGGCGATACAGTTTTTAAATTTGTATTTGAATAAAAAAAAACTTACAGCCGAATGAACGCAAAATCCACATGAAGAGATTTGGGGCAAGCGTAGTTCGTTCCTAGCCGAAATAGTTACCGGTTCTTGTCTATACGCTCGTATACAAACAAATCTGCAACTTCTGATCAAATTTTGTAGAAAAATTCTGGGTATGCAATTTTATAGCTTATTCGTTTTTAGTATAACAAAGTGCAAGTTTGAAAGTACGTTGAGTTTGGCATTTTTTCACGCAGTTTGTAAATGTTTTTTTTTGTATTTTTTTGTATTGAAAAAAAGAAATAACACCGTGGGCATACCTAGAATCTGATTAGATACTTGGTAATTATTAAACAAATTCATTGAATTTTTCTTAGTTTTGCACAAGGTTTACAGATTTTATTTTTAGTTTTTTTTTAATTGTAGCATGAACTACATTTTTATAAAAAATTAGCGAAACAAATTGTAATAAAAAACTTTGCATACATTGCGAAAATATCTATGTGCCAATACTTATGTCCGGCACTGTATGTTTGTATGCTTGTTATGCTGATTAATAGGTGAAAAAAGTGAACTATTAATTTAGCGTTATTGTGTTCGCTGCCGCTCAAATCTTAAACTTATAATCTTGTACGATTTGACGTTTAGTTTTGGGCACGAAGCTGGTTCTTCCGCGTTGACATGGTTTTGGGTAGTCTCTTAGCTTTTGTGAGAACATTTTGTACTTATGGTTATTTGCCCGAAAACAACTTTTTTACTCACCCCTGCGACCCGAGAAAAAAAATGAGCAGTATAAATGTTTGTAATCTTTTTCGAACGTTTTCTGGATACGAAAATAAACGAAAATTGTAGTGGTTTTTATTCTTGACCGCATACGGAAAATTTTACTAGACCGCACTGTCGGCAAAATTTACGTTTTTCTGCTGTCTTGGTACGTGTGTATGTATATATATATGTATATATTAATCAAACATTGGTTTAAAGGTCATTGAGCAACGTGTGTCAAGTTAGCACTACACTTTTCGAATTTGGAAAAGTTAACTACGGCATTAATTGTAGTGTTTTTGTTGTAAATTTGTTGTGGAAAGAAAAAATTTGTAGCTCTCGTTTTTTAAGAAAAATTGGTATGTAGTGCTAACTTGACACCATACACCTAGTCGATAGAATTGAGATATCCAATATGTTACTATGCCATTAATTGTAGCTTTTAACTTTAAAATTTGTTGTGAAAAGAAAAAGTTTGTAGCTTTCGTTTTTCTGGAAAAAATTGAGTTGACCCTTTTTCGAACAAAATTTAGTTCGTAGTGCTAACTTGACACCATGCCCCATTGACGACAGAATTGAGATATTGAAAATGTTATAACGGCATTAATTGTAGCTTTTAACTTTAAAATTTGTTTTGGAAAGAAAAAATTTGTAGCTCTCGTTTTTAAGAAAAAATGGTATGTAGTGCTAACTTGACACCATGTACCATTGTCGACAGAATTGACACATGACAACATGGTGTGATAGCTATTGACATTGCCGTGTAAAACTGGACAGTTGAAAGCATTGCTTGGGTATTGAGCTAGAACTGGTACTGTCGGCAAAAGGTCTAGTTCTAGGCTAGTGAGATTTGATTTTCTGCAGGGTATGTTTGAACACTCCCTGATGAAAATCTGACTAGCTCTGAACTAGCGTAGAACTAGACCCTTAGCCGACATTACTAGTTCTAGCTCAATACCCAAGCAATGCTTTCAACTGTCCAGTTTTACACGGC